TTTTTTTTATGATAAAGGAATGCTTTGTTCCCTGTAAAAATTCATAAATCATCATTCATGCTCTGGAACAGGTTTCTCCCTGCTCCTTACACTGTTGCTGCACTATTTAAAATTTTATTTTTGATTTGAGAATGAGCTGTCTCTCCCAAAAGCAGCAGTACCTGAAGGAATATGTAGTCATCCTGCACAGTCAGGGAATCCCGATCAGTACTACCAGCAAATGGGATTGTCATTGTCTTATCAGAACAATTTTGAATCTGGCAAGTGATGTAGCGATAACCTGAGGGAAGAGAGACAGAAACATATGACAGGGCTATCAAGGGAAAAAGAAGCAAGCAGTATTAAATGTTATTCATGTAGGAAAAATGCTGCCTTTGCCAGGTGACTTAGTTGTAGAATTATTATATTAAACCCTCATACAACAGTTTTTCAATCTCCAATGTACTGAGAATATATTAACTGCTTACAGTTCAGATCATTCCCTAGAGGCAGCCTGTTATTATCCAAATTTTGCTGGTCCAGAGAGATTAAGGGTTAGATGAATGAGCCATTCATGGGTGGGGATAATAGAAGGAGCCTCTTTTCTCACTTAACCTATGCACAGAGCCAAATTATTCACTTGGAGAAATGGCAGCCTGACACAACATAACTGAAATCAATAGATCAACCCCAGTATAAAATTGTGATGAATGAGACAGGAATCAGGCTTCGTTTAATAGACAGTGTGCAGAATTTTAAAGGCTATTTTCAAAGCTCTGTAAGAATCTTCAGAGACACTATTAACTTGCTATTGGAACCGCTCTGTTGGGGCAGGATTTCTGTATTCAGAATTTATACTTTGCTGAAAAAGCCTGGACTGATTTATAATGAGTGGAGGCAGCAGCCTTTCTCTTCCTCTCCAGTTAGCAAGGACTATCTTCTCTACCTGGGTTCTTAGAGCAGCACCACTGCATCTTTGATACAATCTGCTCTTATCAGAGAGAGCAGAGCCAACAATTGTGTCTTACACCAGCTGTGGCTGAAAGACCTTCTCCTAGATTCAAGCTCTTGTATAACTCACCCTTTTCCAAACGCTTCTAAGCACAAAGTACTTGAGCAACTTCCCCAAGCACAGTGAGGAAAACGATATACACAATCTTGTGCCCAGATCACTAATTCTACCCATGCTCAAGGTACAGCATGAAAGAGAGCAAATAACACATCCCCATGTCCTTCACTACTTGTGCAGTGTGATAGGAAATGCATTTCCACACTTTATGACTTTTAAATGGACAAGGCCAAACCAGTATACTGGATACAGTTATTTTTTTGAAAAATCTGGATGTGCTTAAGAGGCAGTTAGAGTCCATTCAAGTTCTCCTGATTATGTCCAAATCATCACTACCAGGACATTTGAGCAAGTGCATCTAAAAGTCTTGCAGATATTTGTAATTCACATCACAAGAATTATAGCTCTTCATGGGATGGATAGTGCAAAGATGCTGCTTCCACTAAAATCAGTGGCAATGCTCGTACTGACCATAAGTGCACAAAGTCAGTTTGTTGAGAACCCAAACAGGAAATATTTCATGATTCTTTTTCTGCTGTTTCTATTAAATGAACCTTTCCATCCAGGTCCTAAAGAATCTTTTTACACTGTCTCTAAAGAAGCAGCTGAGGAAGTTGTCACCATGTCTCAGAAATCTTGCTGCTAAAAGATTTAGAAACTCTGTCATCCAGCTTTTAACATGGTAACTTTGATTTTTTGATAGGGCTGAAATGAAGAAAAGTTACAGGATCAGGACAAATTAAACTATACATTCTTTACAACTCATTTTTAAGACTGCACAGGAACGTAGACGATCAGATTCAGTGAATTACATTACATTTCAAGTGTACAATTGGTAACAAGAAACTATACCAGATTTTGGAATCGTGGTGACTCTTCAGTACAGCACATCCTGACTACCAGTCTGCTTTTTCATTTATTTTCCTTTAGAAGGTTCTGTGTATACTGGATACTGTAACATGAGGAAATTCTGGGAGCTGGTGGTTAGTGCAGTAGGCCTGACATATGCAATGATTCACATAAACAGACGCTTACCCAGCACTAACACTGCATTGCCAGTTTTATTTGCAAATCGGGAAAACCTGTTCAATGTTTAACTGCCAGAATAAATTGCACCACTAATGGACATTTTCAACGGAGCATAGCATCTTGACGTCAACTCGTCTTACAGGGGGAAAACAAGTAGATTTTAAATTATACTATATTTTTATATAACAGGACAGTTTTGCTGACTGCATATAAACAGAGAAAGCATCTGACTTGTACAGTTTCTCTTCTGGCTAGTTTCAGAAACAATCTGAAAAGCACCTCTAAAACAAAGAGAAATTACTATACACTAGGGTATCAATTGATAACATTTTCATTTGCATACCTCCACTGGGGTCCTGGATTTCCATATGAACTAAATCAGGGTCTGCGTCAACTCCAGCAACGGCCCTGAGAACATAATATAATCAAATTATGTAGAGCCAGCTACAGAATAGTAATTATGTGGAGGGAAGAAAAGAGAGGCTTTCATACTAACCAGCATTAACATTCTAGCTGAGAAATTGAAATAAACCCCATTTATAATGTCCCATTACTAACATCTAGAAGGAAATTATTTTTTCTGTACTTGACAATGATTTTCTTAAATTTCTTTAGAATCTCTTTTACTAACCTATGCATGAAAATAGGATAAATTGAAAAAAAAACCACAGAAAAATGTATGAAAGTGGAAAAACCCCTCCATAATAATAAATTGATTTATGTACACACAGAGATATGCACACAGTCACAGGCACTGGCAAGCACTATAGCATCTTTTTACAATTACATGTGACATTTGAGACTAAAAAGCTA